TACATAACACTGACTTTGTGTGTCTAAGAAAGCCGTGACTGGCTTGTTTCACAATCTCTGGAGCTGTGACTACATAACTCACTGACTCTCTCCTCTGTGTGTTTGAGAAAACTGTGAGTGGCTTGTTTTACAATCTCTGAAGCTGTGACTACATAACACTGACTCTTTGTGTGTCTGAGAAAGCTGTGACTGGCTTGTTTCACAATCTCTGGAGCTGTGACTACATAACACTGACTCTTTGTGTGTCTGAGAAAGCTGTGACTGGCTTGTTTCACAATCTCTGGAGCTGTGACTGGCTTGTTTCACAATCTCTGGAGCTGTGACTGGCTTGTTTCACAATCTCTGGAGCTGTGACTGGCTTGTTTCACAATCTCTGGAGCTGTGCACAGAATGGACAGTGCTTGTGAACTTTTGTAATTGCTGTGATGGCTTCTTTGTTTCCATGAAGGTAGAAATATTTCACGATGCTGCCAATTTTCACCCCATGTGCCGCCAGTCTGTGCAAAAACTCATCAGAGACTTTCTCCTCTATCTGTGTTTCATAAGATTTTCTGAAAAGACAAAGGCAAGATGCTTGAGTTCAATGATGCTTAATGCAAAATATATATCAAGGTTACTTCTTTTCATACATGCTTTGTTTTCCAGTGTTGCTCTTTCTGTACTTTTCTGGATGCTTTTTCTTCCTCTTCCTTAAACTTAGTTTGCGGTGGGCAAACTATGGCACTTGGGCCAAAACTAGGTCACCGAGCAATATTTAGTGGCCAGCAAGGCTGGAATAAAATTACTTTATAATTTGTCTCACAAAATAGCAGAACACAAAAAGAAACGTTTGTATGCAGAAAGGAAAACCCAAATATAGATTCAAATTCATTAGGAGACAGTTTCTTTTGACAGATTTTGATAATAAAATACAAGATGATGACTGTTCTTTTTCTCTGAACAGATACATTTATGAATATACAGAAGGGCTTCAGTGGGTGAGTGTGTCTGGCCAGAGGTGTACTGAGGGATTATAATCTTACATTATCCCACAAAAGTCTAATCAATAAATCTGACTGCTATGTTTACAATAGATTAAAAAAAAATGTGGACAGCAGGTTGGTAATTCTAAGCTTGACCCAGGGACTGCAAAAAAGTCTGACAACCCCTGCTCTAAATGAATGTCAAACATGAATAACATAATTTCACAACTAGTGGCATGATGGGAGTCACCGTGGTGTAGCAGCTAGACGCTTGCCTGTAGTTCAAGTCCTGATGGAGCCAGTCACTTTAGAAAAAGATGACTGGGGCTCCCAGGTCGACCAAGCCTTGAGTGCGCACCAGGTGCAATCCTGGGAAATAAAGGCGGTCGGCTTAATGCTGACTACATCACCCACCTAGTGCCAATTAGTGTCACTCCTCAAAGCCTCAGCCATGTCCCCCGGTCACTCCTCACAGCATAAATCTCCTAAGATTGTGATAATTTGTGCCTCCGCACCATTCACTCGCTCCCAAAGAACCCTCACAACATCTAGCTTGTCATCCACTAATTTACACCAAGGTGTAGAGAACCTACCAGACTATCTTTCTGTTTATTTCCCAACACACCAGCATGACCTTGAGAAAATATTCAAAGGATGCTATCCTTGACCATTGAAGTGATGCTTGCCACTCTGCATGGAGATTATCTATCTCCATCTTTTACAACATGCTTTGTGGGTCAGTTACAATTACGACATGATTGTAAAGATAGTTCTCAAGCAGTGACTGCCTCCAATTCCATTCTCACACTAAATGTTGTGGCTTTGTTGCATTAAGCGATGTCCAATTGGTTTTGCTATGAACCTCTATCTGTATAGATAATCACATCACCTGGGTAGGAATTGTCATGGATCACTACTGATCTACAGCGCCTGCTGGCCAGTCCCTGCACTCCCGATCCAATAAGAATAGAAGACTATACAAGTCTCACTGTTGCTCTGATTGTTGTTGTTCTTCTTTCGTTCGCTTGAAATAGATTATCTATATCGGCAATGTTGTCTCTAGTGTGAACTTCACTGTTTTTTGTAATTCACTCAGCGACCCATAAAGTTTGACTTGAACTGATGTTTCTTTTGATTGTTGTGTATCTTTTGTTCACAAAAAGGAAATGGGGTTTATATGGTCTGGGTACTGGGTTCTGTGGCATCTGCTAAAACTACATGACTGAAGCGCTAACTGTCAAGTACACACACACATTTTGCCACCAAAAAACAAGCTAAGATGCAAGCAAACTTTCTAACCCCACTACAATCTGTAGACCTTTAAGACAGCAACACGGAACGGATGCAAGCAAATCATGGAAAGACATCTTACTCTAGCAATTTTATTTCATTAGGCATGTATCCCAGAGCCTGTGCATGTTCTTCCATATAGCCTACCAATGCTCGCTGACGACTTCGACCAGATATCACCTCCAGCTCAGCTCTCAGCCATTTGCGATAAGAGTTTGTCTGTTCTTTCAATAGTTCAACAGTGGCATTACACATGTCTGGGTTGGCTGAGCAAGGAAACATAACGCTGATGTCAGTCGTACAGGTAGGTAACTGTCCGCAGGTGAATGTTATAAACAGTAGGGGTAATGTCACAACAAATGTAGGAGACAACAGAAGAGGTGAATAATATAAACAACATACATTTACAACAAAAACAACACAGTTGAAGAAAATGAATAGAAAGCATCAAATTAACTATAGGAAACAATACAATAGGTGAAGAATGTAAACAACACAGGCAAAAAAAATATACTGGTGAGAAATATAAACAAGACAGGTGAACAATATAATAACACAAGTCAACTATTCTGATCTTCCTAGCATTCACCGGCTGCAAACTCCGGTGGAAAGTCCTGGCTGTTCACCCTATTCTGGACTCATTGCAGAACTTGAGCTTAGCAAGCTTATTAGTTTTCCAGATCTGGCTTATTTGTACACAGACTGTTGGTTGCTCACCAATCAAAAAGATGCACTTTGAAGAAAACGCCACTAATTAGTCGCCTCCTACTATGCGTGCTGGGAGGGGGGGGGGGAAGTGGGTCTACCAACCCCAACAAATGGGGCCCCAGAACCCACACTGGTACAACATAACAAACAATAGAGGTGAAAAAAAAAACAGACTTCCCAAAAGGAAAAAAAAAGGGGGGGGGGGGGGGTCAGATTACATCACAACTAAAGAGTTACAAAGAATGTGCTGAGAACCCACAAGTTCAGCAGAGCATTATGCCCCTCCTATCAACATGATTTGCTTGTCAGCATTATGCCCCTCCTATCAACATGATTTGCTTGTCAGCATTATGCCCCTCCTATCAACATGATTTGCTTGTCAGCATTATGCCCCTCCTATCAACATGATTTGCTTGTCAGCATTATGCCCCTCCTATCAACATGATTTGCTTGTCAGCATTATGCCCCTCCTATCAACATGATTTGCTTGTCAGCATTATGCCCCTCCTATCAACATGATTTGCTAGTCAGCATTATGCCCCTCCTATCAACATGATTTGCTTGTCAGCATTATGCCCCTCCTATCAACATGATTTGCTTGTCAGCATTATGCCCCTCCTATCAACATGATTTGCTTGTCAGCATTATGCCCCTCCTATCAACATGATTTGCTTGTCAGCATTATGCCCCTCCTATCAACATGATTTGCTTGTCAGCATTATGCCCCTCCTATCAACATGATTTGCTTGTCAGCTCCCCCAGGAGCAAGAACCATTACTGACGTGGGTCTCTTGTTCAGAATGAGTTGTACAACATTAAGTTTTGACACAGCTGTGGTCGATGGTCATATTTTCATGTGTGCCGCAGCACTGTGAGTGTATTTTTGCATGCAAATTTGAAGGTATGCATTTGTTTTTGTATTTTTAATTCACATTCATACTATGAATTTCAAAACATAACAGGCTTGATATAAAGAATACAACTGCCGTGTTTGAAGGGTCAAATGTATGATGGGCCTGTGTGCCCAATTTGTGACCCTTTGGAATAAAGTTTGCCAACCACTGCTAGATTCCCCTGTTGTAATGTCTGTGTGGTCTACTGAAAATGGGGTCACCAGAGGACTCCTGACCCTGCCATTAGGCACATGGGGCACACAGTGATAGTACCATATTTGTATGCATCAAATGCTACTTGATGGATGTTGTGGTCAACTTCATGGCAACTGTCTTTACTTCCCAGGAAAATGCCTGGTACATTTATTTAGTTTGGACTCACTTGAAACATGCCCACATGGATGGGGTTGTAGCGCATGAATACAAGGTCAGCAGGTCAGCAAGCTAGCCACCACACTGGCTCCCAGGCAATGTGATAATAGTTTCATTAAACAATACTTGACCAGTCAAGGGATGCCGAGGTAGTGAACTACATGCGGCGGCGGCCCACCAGGACACGGCTCACTAGTCAAGACCTTTCTATCCCTCTCCAGGGTTATCCTGGAAACAGGTCCCCAGCTGGGAACCCGGCCAAGGTGGACAAATTCAATGTTTCCTTTAAAGTCATAGTGCATCTACCTGAGAGGCAAGGAACCAACAGCCTGCACACAAATAAGCCAGATCTGGGAAGTGGATGTGCACACGACACTCAATCTTGGAATAAGATGAAAGTCCAGAAATGGATGAACAACTAGGATTTCCACTAGAGTTTACAAATGGAGATTGCAAAGAAGCAGAAGAAGATGAGTAATGGAGTAGTCACAATCACGTTGGCCTGCCCCTAACCCTAAGAATGTGGTGTAACAATAACATGGAGAACCTGTAAAAAACTACAGGCACACACAAATATATGTGGAGTTTTTTCAAAACTGAAAAACTTTCAGATCAACTGAGCCTAAAACAGGTATAGGGTAAAAATGTCCTGGGAAGTAAAGGAGGCCAATATGATGTTGATTACATCACCCACTATACAAATATGAGTCAGGCATCATTTGTCCAACGCACAACTAGTGTAAAAAGTAGCCTTTTACTTGACTACTGGACTTACCAGCAAATACATGTGGAGTTTTCCCGTAACTGACAGTTCCTGACATGTCGTGAACAAGGATTCCATCCAAGCTTGCTGCAAGAGTGACACACAGGCGTTCATCAATTTCAATAAATAATGGTACAATAATTTTAATTGAACCCAAACAAGTGAAATCCTGGAAACTCCAGTCCTGTCGATTATTCTAGAGGTGTCAGGTGTTTGTGTTGTTGTCAGTATTTATGATGTCATTATTCTTGGTGTGTGTGTGTGTGTTTTTTAAATTTTTCATTTTCAGTGCCTCTTTTGACCCATTTTTAAAGGGATTCTTACTTCTTGTACTCTGTGACTTCGCCATGAATTTCCTAGACCTGTTTCAGCGTCTGTGGATGGCAATCTGAGCAGCGTCACCTTTTTTTTGCAGCAGCAGCAGCACGGCATCTTGCATTCGTTAATCCAGATGTTGCTGCTCCAAGGATCACCTTATGGTGCTGACTGGCAGTCATGAGCGTTGGAGATGCCGGCACTGCAACTGTCGAGAGGACATCAGGGTGAGGCCAGGCACGTGGCTGCAAGGCTCATGACTATCTGCCATTCAGACAGGTCGTTCTTTTTTGTGCATCGTTGGTCTCAAGAGCTGACGAGCATTTCATTTTGCCAGTTGGAGCTGGGGATGCCGGCGCCTGGCAGCAAATGTTGACTGGAGCAATTACCCACAAGAGCAATTACCCACACTTTTAGTCAGTCCTTCAGTGATCTGAGGACACAAGACCACTGTCGAGATTGATGAGGGCCTGTTCACAAGTAGCAACATTTAGGTGATGGTCCTTTTCAGCTCCCCACCTCCCGAGGGGCAAGTCAGACACACAATCAGAATGTTACTGGTAACATCAGAACTGGAAACGCTGAAGGTGGGGACTGAGCACTTATAGGAATATCCATAATGTTAGTTCTAAACTCACAGCCGAAGGCTTCAATTTATTTTCTGTCACAATCATCAGCAAATAATATGTTTTATAATAGGACATGGCACTAGTGACTCTGAAGTCAATGTGTACAAACAAAAGAAAGGTAATGAGACTGAAGTGGAAAAGGAAGAGTATGAAGTAAGTTGCAATAATAAGCTTGAAACAGAGAAGGCAGGCTTTCCAGTTTTGAACTTTATCCTGAGCAGTGAACTATCCTGCTGGCTTTCCATTGTGCAGGGATTTTTAGTGTGTGCTTGATGCACATGTTATCCTTGTTCTTCATCTTGTCTGGGAATGCTAACAGTCTGATTCCATTCTCCATGGTAGAAGACAGTATTCGAAAGTCGCACTTAACCTAGCTCACCTGGATCAACACACCTGGGAATACCAGAGTAAATGGTGATGAATAAGTGGACCAGCTGGCAAGTATTGCACAAATGAAAGTGGGAGGATGCATGGTTAGAGTTGATATCACCTTTAAAGTCTTCAAGGTCTAGATAGAATACACTGTAACCAACTTCTCATGGGAACAATTAGTAGAGGTACAGTAGAGTAACTGTTGCATCTGAAGGCTAATTAAGCATGGGAATGCCCAAGGTGCAATGAAATCTACTGTGATAACATACCATAACATAATCCTTTTGATTTAAACATACAAATGACGTGAAACAAGAAAGACATCACATGAACAGTAAAAAGGAAGGCAGAAAAGTGTAAAGAGTCTCTGAAGCAATGATGCACATACATTCACCAACAGAAAGATACATTCCTGAGTCTTCATTGTCAAGAAACTTTATCTTTTTCTTCTTCTTTCTTCACCGGCTGTAAGCTCCACCAGAAAGTCCTGGTTGTTCGCCTATTTGGACTTTGTGCCTGAGTTTTGCGTTGCTATCTGTTTTACTGGCTTATTTGTGTGCAGTTGGTTGTTCCCTGTCGCTCAGGCAGATGCACTCCAACTTCGAAGAAAGCTGACTCCTACGACATGCTTGTTGGAAGGCAGTGGGTCTATTCTTGTTGTGCCACAATGGGGCCCCAGAACCCACAAGGAGGAAAGAGGAAACATAAAATACAGTTCTCTTTTTGTGCCAGTGTTACAAAACAAAAATAATATAATTTGTGGCAAAATAACAACAGCAGACGTCAACATACCAGGGTCCAATCCACTGCACATGTCCAACACCTCCAGGGGGTTTTTATCTCCCACATCTGCAGGAAACAAAATGGTACCATGTTCTACTCATTGAGGTAACAACATCAAATTGATCATCAACAAGTCAGATTGGTACTTGGTGTGAGTTGGTTTAAGGCCTATGTTCCAATAGAAGTTAAAAGAAGACAATGCATGCATGTGTGCATGTGTGTGTTTGTGCTTGACCAACTGTGGCATGGGTGAGTAAATGTATGTTTGTATATGAGTCAATCTATATGTGGGTGAATGTTTGATTATGTGAGTGAATGTGTGTGAGTGTGTCAGTCTGTGTGCACAAGTCAGTAAATGTGAGCATTAGAATATGTGGGTGTCAGACACTGTGTGTGAATAAGACAATATGTGTAGGTGATACATACATGTAAATCATTGTATATATGAACTAATGAGAGAGAGAGAGAGAGAGAGAGAGGGGGGGGGGGGAGAGGGAGAGAGAGCGTGTGTGCAAGTCTAAATGCATGTTTACATATTAAACAATATAAATCTTCAGAATTATGAGCATATTTTGTTGAACGTCCCTTCTTGGTCTATGGGGCCTCATTTCAGGGGAAGAAAGAATACATCCACTATCCTCTTTAGAAGAATATCTCTTCTTCTTCTTCAGCAATCTCTGGTCATGCACATAATCCAATGTGGGCTTTAAACTTGGATGTCTTTTCAAGGTCTCTTAGGTTTCCCTAAAGCTCAGTAGTCAGGTCTATTAGATGTTGCCATATGTTGCTCCGCAGCTCTGCCAAGAAACTGAGTCTTGCAGGATATGTTCTGGAGTCTGTTCAACATAAAGAAAGACACTGACAGAGAGCTGTTTGGCTCATATTCAATTTATATGAGTGTTTGCTGAGTCTGCAGTGTCCAGTACGTAAGTAAAAAACTGACAAGGTCTGTTCTGTTCAGGTGTTTTTCATGGTTATAACCAGTGTTGGTTTTCCAATCTGTTTTTGATTTTCTCTTATTGAGAGTTTTGACTTCTGGAAAAGATAGTGGCTGGTAAATTTGTGGTTTGTTATGCCTTCGGAGGCTAAAGTATCAGCGCTTTCATTCCCTTTGATGCCACAGTTTAGACTTTGTAGTGTGCTGTCAGTAGGTTTGGACTACAGAGCCTGTATGGCTGACAGTTAGCCTGTGGGAAAAACCATCTTGCCTGCGGTAATTTGCAGCTTGGTCATATACTGTGCTGCCATCATTAAAAATGAGAACTCTGCCTTGTAGTTAGAGCAAGTTCGTCCGGGGAGGGCTGCCAGGGACACAGTAGTGACATTAGGGTGTTTAATGTAAACACCTGCCCCACCACTGGTAGTTGCCTCTTTTGCTGATCCATCTGTGTAGATTATCCTCCAGCTCTCCCGTGGGAACATGTTGTTGAGGTGTCCCATTGTGAGTGCTTTCTTTACTAAAGTGGACTCAGCATCTTTGTTTCCCAGGTTCCGGATGGATGCTGAAATGCTAAATGCCAATTATTTCAGAGATCGAAAAATATACAAGTTATACAATCGCTCTTCTCTGAAGACTTCAACAAATCATGAATTGATGAGATCAAAGTTATTGCTCTAGGACATAAACTGCACGAACTAGAAACATCCAAAACAGCTTTGTAACCAAAACAAAACAAAACGGTACAGCAATAATGTAACGGAAAAAGAATTTCAGTTTTGTTCAAATATAAGGTAAGCCATACACACACACTGAAATGGGAAAAAGAGGAACTGAGGAAGCTAGGACGTCCAAGAGAAACCTTAAGGTGAATGCTGATGAGAGAGGCCAAAGGTGCCAACTTTGATTTCATCCATGATACTGAAGTGATTGCACCAGATAGGAAGATAGACTGAGAGCCCTAGGTATATATATATATATATATATGTCGGCTCTGTGGCTAAGTCAATGTGAACGCTTCATAATGCCGGGGTGCCGGGTTTGATTCCAGCTGCGGGCCATGCACCTTGAGTTGGTTTCGACAGTGGTATCAGGGAGCCGACCGTCCAGAAAGCAATGACAAACTAATGGACGTAAATTTGCCTAGAAAAACCACACAACAACCAGGGGCTGCTGGGGTTGGTTCTGCAACGTCCTTTAAAGGATATGCAACTAACCTTTTATATATGTGTGTGTGTGTGTGTGTGTGTGTATGTGCACACAAGCGCGCATGTGTGTGTGCATTTAAAGGCGTTTTAAGTTTTTAAACTTAAAAATTTAACATTTAGTATCTGTTTAGTATCTGTTGGACTGTTCTGGTAGTTTTTCAAAATAAATCTGGTACTATCCCCCAAAACAATGTTTGCAGCCCTTAACAACACTATGGCAGGATATGGCTACATGAGGCCACGAATAGCGAGGCCCATTTTGTTGGTGAACCGTCTCTTTCTGTGAGCTCATACAACGAAAATGGGTGACTTAAAGCTGTACTTGATGATGGTCTTCTTCAAACAAAGCAGGTCTGAGATAGCTATAATTACCTTTATACTGGTTATTATTTTCTGTATAATTATAATCTGGGAGACTCCTCCAGTCAGGCAGATCTGTAAAGGCTGCAACAAAACCAAACATTCAGTCAACATAAATGTACAATTTATGTCTCTGACAAAGGTTCTTTTAATTACTTGGAGAAAAAGCTTGAATCCTTTTGCAGCAAGATGTCATTTACAAGCTTTAAGAGCTGGTCAGTCTCCCTGATATGCCCATATATCTGCTCTGGTACTGTTAGCGCCTGGCACAGTATTGAGACATGCCAGATATGATTATACTTACTAAAATGTTGGTTGTTTGCCTCTCAGGCAGATGCACTGTGTACAGCTTGCTTGTTAACTCTTTAAGGCCCGAGCAATGCTGTTTGTGTTGATTGAGAAGTTCTAATTTGCCCAACAACACTGCATTGATCATGTATCCTGTACATACCGATTTGCATACAGCTCCGTATTCATTTCTAATGTTCCGAACTACCATTAAAGTATTCAAGGAAGGTTAGTCTAAAATTTTTCTTTGTAAACAAGTCCGTGATCGCACAAATGAGGGCTAGCCTGATTTTCAGACAGTGCAATTGTCTGATTTTGTGTTCAGGTTGCCATGGTTACCAGTGTTCCAAACACAAGCACAGGCCGACAAATTGGCCTTTCTGTGGCTGAAGCTCTGAAATCATGTCAGTCAGATGTTTTCTAATAATGAAAAATGTGAAATTTGGACAGTAAATTGACACCAGTGGCAGCTGAGTGATCAGCTGTTGGTTGTGATGAGGTAAATCCAGGAGGAGCCCTTTCATTTGTGAAGGATGTGAAAGTCAGCATATTTACATCAAAAGGATTGTTTCAGACAGTACCATACACATACTTGTACTATAGCTAAGCTGCACTGAAATTATTGTAGCTACAGTCGGTATATAACTACAAAGTTAATACTTTGTGTGTACAGGACTATTGGTCCCATTTTCTGCCAATGTTTTTTTTTTTTTAATTTTTGTTCAGCGGTTTATGAGGACTTGGAGCCTCTGAGTGATAAACTAACCTAGAAACTTAACATTACTTCTGAATATTTTAGAAAAAGAACAAACTTCAAAGTGTTATTCTCATTTATGGATATTTACTGCTCTTGTGGCTGCAAAACCATGGTAAGTGAACATTTTTTTTTGGGGTGGGGGGTAAGATTTGTCTTTGTAAACATAACACCTGCTGGATTCTTTTTTCCTACTAACTATAACAGTATGAAACAATAACATATCATCAGATTGAAAATATACATTCATTCCTCTTGAAAAAAAAAAAACTTTTGTAGGGATTATTAATATATTGCATTCTCAGTTGTCTTGTTTTCTTTTTTTGTACATTATCCCCTCTGCCATTTTTGTAAAGGAAAAGTAGTGTGAGCCAAGTCTGTCAAAATTCATGGACCTGAAAGAGTTAAGGAGGCAGTGGGTCTATTCATATTTTCTCCACAACAGGGCCAATAAACCCACACAATGACACTCTTCCCCTGTCTGACAGTGAAGACACCACCAACAGTTGATCCACCATCAGTATAGTTATTTGGGTCAGTGAAACATGCAGAACCCTCTACGTAACATTCTAGAGACATCAAAGTGGAGTAAATAAGTTTAGCTTTAGTGATGGCTGGTTGGAAGTTCATTGAAAGGCTTGGATTTGTTCAAACTCTTGGGTTTTCTGTGCTGACATCCATATCATTCATTCAATCCCCAAAGAGAGCTTCCATTTACTGCAGTAAGGTTAGCATAAAGACTTCCCACCTGACCCAGCAATGAACAAATAGCTAGCGTAAAGACTTCCCACCTGACCCAGCAATGAACAAATAGCTAGCATAAAGACTTCCCACCTGACCCAGCAATGAACAAATAGCTAGCGTAAAGACTTCCCACCTGACCCAGCAATGAACAAATAGCTAGCGTAAAGACTTCCCACCTGACCCAGCAATGAACAAATAGCTAGCGTAAAGACTTCCAACCTGACCCAGCAATGAACAAATAGCTAGCGTAAAGACTTCCCACCTGACCCAGCAATGAACAAATAGCTAGCGTAAAGACTTCCCACCTGACCCAGCAATGAACAAATAGCTAGCGTAAAGACTTCCCACCTGACCCAGCAATGAAACAAACTATCTCCACAGGGAACGTGTTGGAGAGGTCCTCTTTCACACTGCAAGCACTGGGGCCAGCAGAACTAGTACTTCAACTTCAGATCTGACGAGATGTATGGTGAACATCAGTCAGTGTGGGGACCCAGTCTGTGGATAGGTTCCACCTTGGTGCTCAAGAACTTCTGCCTGTGTAGTGGCTGTGAGCTCAGCCATCTATTAGCGTCATATCGGATAAATGAAACCTGTTGTAAGAACATTACAGTATTGCTCCTACCTTTGGGTTCAATCTCAATGAGTGGATCACTTGGAAGCTGCTGGCTAATATCCTCTACAGCCGATGGCTCCTGTTGCAAATCTTCAGCTGTGTTCTGGGAATGTCCATTACATTCTTCTTGGTGAGCTGGACAATCTGAAAGACATGTTCAAACATGAACAGTAATCACTCACTCATGCAGGTCCTGGGGCCCCATTGTGGGGGGGGGGGGAGGGGGGGGGGGGGGGGGGGGGGGGAAGAATGGACCCACATGACAAGTATGTCAAAAAAGTTGAAAAATTATGGATGTTTCCTTGCAAGTCATAGTGTATCTGCGTCAGAGACGAGGAACAAACAGTCTGCTTACAAATTTTCCAGATTTGTAAAATGGGTGTGCAGGCAAAACTCAGGAACAAGACTACAGTCTAGAAGTGGACAAACAATGAAAACTCTCCTCTGGTGTTTACAGCCAGCAAACACTAAGAAAAAGAAGAAGAGTATACAACAAACACAGCATACAGGTGAAGAGGAAAGATGCCAAAATAATTCACATATATTCTGACTGTTTTTAGGAGTTCCCATTTAGTTCCATACAACTCTGAGAGCAGTGTTCACTTCTTAATGGGCCACACAAGGGAGTTTCTTGCAGGACATGTTGCAGGATATGTTGCAGGACATGTTGCAGGATATGTTGTAGGACATGTTGCAGGATATGTTGTAGGACATGTTGTAGGACATGTTGTAGGATATGTTGTAGGACATGTTGTAGGACATGTTGCAGGATATGTTGTAGGACATGTTGCAGGATATGTTGTAGGACATGTTGTAGGACATGTTGTAGGACATGTTGCAGGATATGTTGCAGGATATGTTGTAGGACATGTTGTAGGACATGTTGTAGGACATGTTGCAGGATATGTTGTAGGACATGTTGTAGGACATGTTGTAGGACATGTTGCAGGATATGTTGCAGGATATGTTGTAGGACATGTTGTAGGACATGTTGCAGGACATGTTGCAGGATATGTTGTAGGACATGTTGCAGGATATGTTGTAGGACATGTTGTAGGACATGTTGTAGGACATGTTGCAGGATATGTTGTAGGACATGTTGCAGGATATGTTGTAGGACATGTTGCAGGATATGTTGTAGGACATGTTGCAGGATATGTTGTAGGACATGTTGCAGGATATGTTGTAGGACATGTTGTAGGACATGTTGTAGGACATGTTGCAGGATATGTTGCAGGATATGTTGTAGGACATGTTGTAGGTCATGTTGCAGGATATGTTGTAGGACATGTTGTAGGACATGTTGTAGTATATGTTGCAGGACATGTTGCAGGACATGTTGCAGGATATGTTGTAGGACATGTTGCAGGATATGTTGCAGGATATGTTGTAGGACATGTTGCAGGATATGTTGTAGGATATGTTGTAGGACATGTTGTAGGACATGTTACAGGATATGTTGCAGGATATGTTGTAGGATATGTTGCAGGATATGTTGTAGGATATGTTGTAGGACATGTTGCAGGATATGTTGCAGGACATGTTGCAGGACATGTTGCAGGACATGTTGCAGGATATGTTGCAGGACATGTTCTGTAGTCTGCGCGCACACTCCACAATGGGCACAATGGTGAACTATGTAGATGAAGCTTGTGCATATACTTGTTAACTTTGTTATGTTCTGTTCTGAGGTGTAGAATAATGACCTGCCAATGCTGGTCAAGTAAGTAAAGGTCATCTCTGGTCAGATTCTGTTCCCTTCTGATAGACTGGATGGCTTTTTTCTTCTCAAAGTATGTTACTGCATTCTCTTCCTGTTATAATGTTATATCATGTTATTATATTTTACTTGTAATGCTAAGCACAGTGAATAGCAATGGGGAATAAACATATAAATAATCGGATTACAGGTGTAGTTCAGTATACGTTAGTTTCGTACACATACAACTTGGTATATGTCCTGTTTAGATGAGAAAAATATGGCTTGGTATATGGCCCTTGTTTGGTATTGAACTCGTGTGCTACAACTTGTATGGGTTAAAATGAGCTATGAGCCTTGTTTATCTTTCTCATTAATCAAGAACATGTTTGCCAAATGGATGGATGTTGAAAACTTTGGAGAGAAGTAAGACCCCAACAAAGTCCAAACACACTGCAACAGCACTGTCTAGAATGACCAGACAATGTCCCATTCTGAAACACCCTAGTAGAAGGCAGGTCTGTGGACAGATTTTTAGTAGAAGTCACACCTGATGAGTCTGAACCATGTCCAAGTAGGCAGACAAAAAAAAACAAAACAAAAAAAAAAGACAAAAAAAAAAAAAAACCCACCAGAATTTCAGATTCATGAGTTCTATTGGAGGGAGAATCTCCTTCCAAGCAATAACATCTCCCCCTCCTCCTCCCTTTCTCAGCCCCATAACAGTAGGCACTCAACTCCTCTCCCCAAAAATATCTCAGGTTAAATTTTCATTTATTGTGTCTAGTTTTTAAAAAAAAAATGTATGTATTGTAATATTAAGCTGTGTTTACATGATATATGGGGGGGGGGGGGGGGGGGAAGGGGGGGGGGGTGTGAAGAGAAAGAGAGAGGAAGAAAAGGCTAGAGGGAATGGAGTCTGCTTACTTATCTGCCTTTTATTTGTCCGCCTCCGTTTACAAAGAAAAAAAGTGAAGAGTATACACAGCACGATGACAAATCCTGTCACAACAACAGCAATAACAACAGGCGTCACATCGTCAGACGGGTTCCCTGAAACACACAAGGATAAGCTAAAACATTTCTTCATCTGCCCTCTCTTCTTCTCTTCATACATATTTGTTCCAGTTATGTCTACACATGTCGACACTGTGGCTTCGGCGTTGTGAGGGCTTTTCATAATGCCGGGGTGCTGGGTTTGATTCCAGCTGTGGGCCTTGCACCTTGCTTTGGTTTAGACAGTGGTATCGAGAAGCTGACCGTCCAGAAAGCAATGGCAAACTACTGGAGGTAAATTTGCCTAGAAAAACCACAACAGCCAAAAAAGAAGTCTAGATTTATATATGTATATATGAACTATATTTTTTCAATAGTTGTCAATTTAAGAATCTAGTTATGTGGGTAACATCAGATGGAACACATATCCCATAGTAAAAGAACAGAATTAGACAGGCTAAAACTGTGCTTTAATAAATGAACAGCAAATGCAATAAATTCATGTCTTTAAAGAATTTGTACATTTGAAATCTTTTCTGTCCAGCTTTCTCTTTGCAGACTGTAAGAACAATCTCAAAAGCTTCAAAGTTGTTTTCATCATGTTTGTTTATCGCCCATGTTTCAGAGCTGTATACAGGACTAAACGGATAGAAGGCCTGTGGAAGACTTAGGTTCCTAGTGGCTCTTCAGGTTGTCTCAGCAGTGGGGACAAGCTTGCAACCACCGAGGCAGATGAGAAGGAACCCAAGCACCATCTCCATGAGGACCATATTCTATGACATTCTTGACCGGTTGTGACAAAACGAAGGAATATTTCAGTCCGGCAAGAGTTAATTGCAAGTTTGAGTTAAAAGAATTGCGCACGTAAAATAAATATAGTTAAACATAGACGCTAAAAGAATAAAAAGGTACGAAGGCGCACATAATTTATGACGTTTTGTGGTGTTACTAGGAGAAACCCTTAGATCTAGTTTCGTCACAACAGAGAACGATTGCCAGCCATACCATCGGCCTAACACCAACAATAATAATAATACCATATACGATTTCAGGTTCCCGTGTTCCCGTATTCACGCCTGCCTGTTTACCAGAGGACCGTATTTCCGTTTTCCTGCATTCCTGTTAACCCCGTAGATCGTGAACCACCCAGTATAGAATGGAAAACCGAAATTCAGGGATGAATGTCGCAGATAGCCAAGTATTTTAATTGTTGGAGCCGGAGCCTTAACCATACCTCCCAAAGAAGCAGAATTTCGACACATCCCTACTATCGGAAAGCTGAGTGACATTTGATGTTTGTTCAGAGTTATGTGGTGTAAATGATGAAACCGTGATTTATTTTCTCTGTGTTAATTTGAAAATTGTTGAATTCAATATCAGTATTTTATCAATACAGTTGTGGTTTAGAAACTCCATTTATCGATTTCATCGTATCAAATTTACTTCTTAGGTAGACTAAAGATTGTTCATTGCAATTTATTTGAGTTAAAATTATAAAGTATTGACTTTGGTTGTTTCTGAATTTCTTTAGGAAATTTCCGGGGATTCACCCTATTCATTTAACTTTCCGTATTTTCCTTCCTTTATTTTCCAGAACTCAGGGACCGTTATAATTCCCCTAGACTTATTTAAATCGAGCCCTGTAAGTTATTTGGAAGGATATAGGGGATCTCCAGGCGACGATAAATTCCGCCAAAAATAGTTGATTACACCGGTACAGAGAGTTCATCATTCTTTGATCCAGGAATAGGTGCAATAAAAACATGCACAAGTTTCATCATGTCACTCTGAGAATCCACAAAACAAACGCTTCCAGCTAGGTCTAAATGTGCATAAAAGCCACTTAACTAACTGTTTTAGAGTGATGTGTTTAGAAGATGACAAGTTAATGCTACTGGTTGTGTTAAGGCCTGTGCAAACATTTAGGAGGTCAGGATATGAAAATATTAACAATATGAAGGTGTTTTCCTGTGAATCAAACAGCTTTTTTAAAGCCACGTTGGCGTCAAATTCTTCCGTAAACCTTTTGATAGAAGTCTAGGCATGAGTTCCCTGCTACGCTCAGCTTTTGTCTTTGCCCTGCGGAATGTATTCTATTTAATGTTGACTCTGTTCATGTCTACTGATTACTCCCTTTATATATCTTTAAAAAATCCCCCCCCCCCCCCCCAATATATAAATACAATTTGTTTTTACAGTTATTAGTGATCTTGTAAATTTATTGTTTTAAACAGAAAGGGGGGGGGGGGGGTAAGATATTAATTTCCATACATGTATCATCATCATTATCATCAACCACTTCTGCCATTAAGCATCGTGGGGAGGAATAATGTGTGATCCAGTTCATGGTGCATGACTCAGTTTGTTTTAAGCATTCCTGTGGTAACAGGGTTAACCTATCTGTGTCACCACAGAAAACATATGACTGAATGTGTTTTAGCATTGCCGGGGTAAGAGGGTTAACCTATCTGTTCCACCACAGAAAACATATGACTGAATGTGTTTTAGCATTGCCGGGGTAAGTGAGTTAACCTTTCTGTTCCACCACAGAAAACATATGACTGAATGTGTTTTAGCATTCCTGGGGTAACAGGGTTAACCTATCTGTTCCACCACAGAAAACCTATGACTGAATGTGTTTGAGCATTGCCGGAGTAACAGGTTTAACCTATCTGTTCCACCATAGAAAACATTTGACTGAATGTGTTTTAGCATTGCCGGAGTAACAGGTTTAACCTATCTGTTCCACCATAGAAAACATATGACTGAATGTGTTTTAGCATTGCCGGAGTAACAGGTTTAACCTATCTGTTCCACCATAGAAAACATATGACTGAATGTGTTTTAGCATTGCCGGAGTAACAGGTTTAACCTATCTGTTCCACCATAGAAAACATATGACTGAATGTGTTTTAGCATTGCCGGAGTAACAGGTTTAACCTATCTGTTCCACCATAGAAAACATATGACTGAATGTGTTTTAGCATTCCTGTGGTAACAGGGTTAACCTATCTGTTCCACCACAGAAAACATATGACTGAATGTGTTTTAGCATTCCTGGGGTAACAGGGTTAACCTATCTGTTCCACCACAGAAAACATATGACTGAATGTGTTTGAGCATTGCCGGAGTAACAGGTTTAACCTATCTGTTCCACCATAGAAAACATATGACTGAATGTGTTTTAGCATTGCCGGAGTAACAGGTTTAACCTATCTGTTCCACCATAGAAAACATATGACTGAATGTGTTTTAGCATTGCCGGAGTAACAGGTTTAACCTATCTGTTCCACCATAGAAAACATATGACTGAATGTGTTTTAGCATTGCCGGAGTAACAGGTTTAACCTATCTGTTCCACCATAGAAAACAGATGACTGAATGTGTTTTAGCATTGCCGGAGTAACAGGTTTAACCTATCTGTTCCACCATAGAAAACATATGACTAAATGTGTTTTAGCATTGCCGGAGTAACAGGTTTAACCTATCTGTTCCACCATAGAAAACAGATGACTGAATGTGTTTTAGCATTGCCGGAGTAACAGGTTTAACCTATCTGTTCCACCATAGAAAACATATGACTGAATGTGTTTTAGCATTGCCGGAGTAACAGGTTTAACCTATCTGTTCCACCATAGAAAACATATGACTGAATGTGTTTTAGCATTCCTGTGGTAACAGGGTTAACCTATCTGTTCCACCACAGAAAACATATGACTGAATGTGTTTTAGCATTCCTGGGGTAACAGGGTTAACCTATCTGTTCCACCACAGAAAACATATGACTGAATGTGTTTGAGCATTGCCGGAGTAACAGGTTTAACCTATCTGTTCCACCATAGAAAACATATGACTGAATGTGTTTTAGCATTGCCAGAGTAACAGGTTTAACCTATCTGTTCCACCATAGAAAACATATGACTGAATGTGTTTTAGCATTCCTGTGGTAACAGGGTTAACCTATCTGTGTCACCACAGAAAACATATGACTGAATGTGTTTTGGACTAATGTCTGTGCTGCAAGCTGGGACAAATGTGCTGCTTCTTTGGTCACCACTGAGCTCCTGGTTATCTGCAAGTGAAGCCTAGCTCTCTAGCATAGTTGGTTAAACCTGACATCGTGGTGACCGGGTTACGAACTCCTTATGGTCCGGGTTCACTCCCGGGGGTAGGCAGAAAAGCCACATTTCTCCCAGATTTACGGTACCTATCATGTAATCAAGACCAAAGGGTTGCGATATCCACAGTACCGAGCCAAAGGGTTTACAACTCATGGCTTCTGGATATTAAAAAAAAGTCTGCAAGTAAAGAGAAGCTCCAGGAATATGTGTTTATTCTGAGTTTATAAAACCTAATCATCGAAGACTGTGATTGCAAGGAGGAGACGATAAATAAGGGACCAGACACAAAACAACATCAAGCAAGGTGCAGCTAATGAAATTAGGATAGTTTTCACATGCCTGGACTGTATGTAACACTTGTAATCCCAGTGGGTGAGGTCACATTGCTTGCAATCCCAGTGGGTGATGTCACATTGCTTGCAATCCCATTGGCTGATGTCACATTGCTAGCAATCCCATTGGCTGATGTCACAGTACCTTGAACATCAATAACAGGTCTCCACACGGGTACTGTCAAATAAAGATTTTGAAGTTAGGAGAATCTCATTCTAAGAAGAGATGAACAGAGAATCACCACACAGGACTGCTGAAATTTGAAATAGAGGAACAAAGAACATATAAGAGACACACTAACATGAACGTTGATGACAGAAGTCAATGGTGCTAGACAAGATTATATCCATGATATCAGAGTGACCACACAGGATGGAATGGAATGGAATGGAGAAATATGGCACAAATGACCAATAAATGACCAGCTGACGTTATCAGTATGGGGACTTTTCCCTGGTCACTCAGGGAGAGGACAGAGCCCATATGGCAATGTTTTGAGTGCATGTACATTTGCCTAGAGAAACCACAATAGCCACACAAACACACACATAACCCTGGGGTTGATTCTGCAACAACAAACTTTGAACTATGGCAAGAAAACAGAGTCACAGAACCAAGTAGATAGTCCTCAAAATCTTACATGAGAGGCTTACACAAGCCAACCCAACAAACCAGGCACTAGAAGACTGCAGTTCCCTGCAACTACTTGCGCAGGGAACAAAACATTTCTTCTGCGCTTCAACAGTAGAAAAACTTCATGGGACAAGTCTGAGTTACTTTTATTAAACTTCAGTGGTGCCGTTGTTTATCAATTCTTGCACACATCAAGATACATATATATATATATAGTTAGTTAGCCGACAGACTGTCATCATCGTACATTAAACCATTCAGTTGTTTGTCTTTAGTCTTGTTTGACAGTTCTCCCTCCGACCTGAGCCTTAAATGCCTACGAGCTCCTAACATTTCCAAAGACAGACCTATCTGTGTAGATGATCACATCGCCCTAACAAGAATTCTCATATATTAAGGCTTGCACTTCTGCTTCCTCAACTACTGGGTATTGTTATCTGCATTCTCTGTTCAGCTTGATGCATACTCAAAGGGACGTATGACACGCTGGTGGTACACATACCCTTTCTTCCCCAAGTTCTATGTCCTCAAGTGGACAAGCCTCTTGTATAATATCCTTCGCCTGACCCATCCATGATATTCTTCTCTTTAGTCTGCTGCTTTTTCCCCCCTGATTCACTGTGCAGTGGGTGTTGTGTGTCAGCACAGACTTGGAGGTAGGCATGTGCTTAACAGATCCTTATTCTAGCTTCCATTGTTGGAAAACTAAGGAGGTACCGCATGCTGTATTTTTAGTGCACCCAGGCATAAGGCACACTGCCTCGTTTTGTATCTTTTCCAATCTCTCTAGCTGAGTCTGGTTAAGGGTAAAGAACACCAGGGCATACTCGATCACTGGAAGGACCAGACCTTGGTATAAAAGACAGAGATGTCTGTGTTCACAGTTTGCTGCCGCCATGACCTTCATAGCTGCCAAATCCCTCCCAGCCTTCATTACCACATGGTCTAATTGCACATAAAAGCCAGACTGCAACACACTTTAAACTTCTGATCAAATATGGTGACGCTATTATATATCTATCTATCTATCTATATATGTGTGTGTGTGTGTGTATACATACACACAAACACATACACATGGCTCGCAGGAATGTAACCCATTATATCAACCTTCTCCCAGTGTGGGTTCTGCGGTTGTAATTTTAAGGAAAAAAAATGAATCCACTGCTTCTCAACACACGTGCTGTTCAAGGTGACTAACTAAGGATTTATTGAAACAGGATTTGTTGAGGTGAAAAGTGCAGATGTCAGAGCCTAGCTGTAAACCACATAACCCCTAAATCACAGTAGAAGAAGAAGAAACCAACCTTCATTTTCAGGTACTGATGTTAAACTTTGTCTTGGGAAACCGGTGCTGATGTAAGGCACAAACCTGGCAGCAGTACAGGTCTCTGTGAGAGACCACTGGGCCGTGACATTATCCCATGGGCCCACCAATATACATGATGCTGAATGAACTACATTGCTGGTATCACAGGTATAGCTGCAGTTTGTGTGCACATACCTGCTGCAGGTGGGCTTCAGTGTTCCACTGGGGATTTTTCCACATTCTAAAACAACAGTCAACAGTTATTTGAAATAGTTTAGTTATACAAACACTAGATAGCTTCAAACATTTCACAAACACTACATAACTTCAAACAGTTCACAAACACCACATAACTTCAAACAGTTCACAAACACTACATAACTTCAAACATTTCACAAACACCACATAACTTCAAACAGTTCACAAACACCACATAATTTCAAACAGTTCACAGACACCACATAATTTCAAACATTTCACAAACACTACATAACTTCAAACATTTCACAAACACCACATAACATCAAACAGTTCACATACACTACATAACTTCAAACAGTTCACAAACACTACGTAACTTCAAACAGTTCACAAACACTACATAACTTTGAACAGTTCACAAACACTACATAACCGTGAACAGTTCACAAACACTACATAACTGTGAACAGTTTACAAACACTACATAACTGTGAACAGTTCACAAACAGTACATAACTGTGAACAGTTGACAAACACTACATAACTGTGAACAGTTCACAAACACTACATAACTGTGAACAGTTCACAAACACTACATAACTGTGAACAGTTCATAAACAGTACATAACTGTGAACAGTTCACAAACACTACATAACTGTAAACAGTTGACAAACACTAAATAACTGTGAACAGTTCACAAACACTACATAACTTCAAACAGTTCGCAAACACTACATAACTTTGAACCATTCACAAACACTACATAACTTTGAACCATTCACAAACACTACATAACTTTGAACCGTTCACAAACACTACATAACCAAACAGTTCGTAAACGCTACATAACCAAACATTTACAAGAATTTATGTACATGCTAACACAGTTATTTACACCTCTTGTTCAGTCTCTTCCCTTGTGGAAGCATACACTATTAATCCACTCATGTCACATCGTCCTAATGTTTGCAATATCCATCATCTTCCTTCATGTCATCCCCATATTACTAATTTTTCTGCTTCTATTTTTCTGGCGACTGTGTTTTATTTTTGGTCACTCTTTGTGTCTTTCACCCAATGAAAGGAAATTCCGCATGTTCTATTATCAAGAGTGCTGGGTGTGTATTCTATTCCCCACTACTGGATTTTTGGGAACTGGTTTAGTTCTCTACCTTAACTCTGCACTTATGATTGTGTCATATGATATCTTCTTCTTCTTCTTAGCGTTCACCAGCTGTAAACCCAAGTGGAAAATTCTGATTGTTCATCCGCTTCTGGACTTTAGTCATGTTCCATGACTTGAGTTTTATAAGTACACATCTTTTACAGATCTAGCTTAGTTGTAATCTGAATGTTAGTTCCTTGCCTTTGAGGCAGATGCAATCCGACTTTGAAGGAAATGCCCCGAATTAGTTGACGTCTATGACAGGCATGTTAGGTAGGCAGTTGTTCTGTTCCTTGTTTGTTTCCCTAAACTGGGGTCCCAGAACCCATACAGACAGTCATACAATGTTATTCCATCTGTTCTACATACATGTACTCTTTTCCTTCCAAACTGTTCCATTTAGCAACCACATAATACTGAAATAACCAAGAAACTTTAGGCAGTATGATAACCAAGAGAAGATAGAAATGGCTTGGCCACGTTATGAGAATGAATCCTGATATACCTGCTAAAACAGCTCTCACATGGACACCAGAGGGAAAGAGAAAACAGGGTCGCCCAAAAACAACATGGAGACGAACGATGGAAAGTGACCTGAGTGCGGCATCTTTGACATGGAAAACTGCACTGAAGATTGCACAGGACAGGAAAGCATGGAAAGTCCTCTCTGAAGCCTCATGTGCCACTAGGCATAACAAGAACTGATGAATACTGAAATCATTCATATAACTGCTGCTGAAAATACAACTATTGAAAATTTATCTGATGCATCTCTTGTAGGTTCTTTCTTTTCTCCAACTCAGTCTCATATTTTTTAAATGTTAAATATAATTAGATAATTTTTACATTTTTCGCTCCACAAAATGAATTATGGATGAATGTCTATATCATTTAAACATAAGACTCACTTAAAATGAAGCCAGTACTAGATCCATACGGAGCATAAGGGAATGTCTTTGTTCCATCAGCCAAAATATGTTGCATCTCTTTGTTTTTCTTCAGGCATTTTCTTTCAATGCTCCCTAAACTTCTTTGCAAAAAAAAAAAGTGTATTGTTAGGCTAATGTAAATTTTGTTTTTGAGCACTGAAAGGAGAAGAGTAGGGAAGGGGAGGGGTGGGAGGAGGAGAAGAGTAGGGAAGGGGAGGGGTGGGAGGAGGAGAAGAGTAGGGAAGGGGAGGGGTGGGAGGAGGAGAAGAGTAGGGAAGGGGAGGGGTGGGAGGAGGAGAAGAGTAGGGAAGGGGAGGGGTGGGAGTAGGAGAAGAGTAGGGAAGGGGGGGTGGGAGGAGGAGAAGAGTAGGGAAGGGGAGGGGTGGGAGGAGGAGAAGAGTAGGGAAGGGGAGGGGTGGGAGGAGGAGAAGAGTAGGGAAGGGGAGGGGTGGGAGGAGGAGAAGAGTAGGGAAGGGGAGGGGTGGGAGGAGGAGAAGAGTAGGGAAGGGGAGGGGTGGGAGGAGGAGAAGAGTAGGGAAGGGGAGGGGTGGGAGGAGGAGAGAAGAGTAGGGAAGGGGAGGGGTGGGAGGAGGAGAAGAGTAGGGAAGAGGAGGGGTGGGAGGAGGAGAAGAGTAGGGAAGGGGAGGGGTGGGAGGAGGAGAAGAGTAGGGAAGGGGAGGGGTGGGAGGAGGAGAAGCATAGTGTTGTTTGTGGTGCTGAAACAATAATTACAATAAGCTGTAACTGTTCAACTGTATCAAGATGAAAATAAACAAGGTGAATTGTATCACTTATCTTTCTCCTCTTCTTCTTTAGCATCTGCGAAAGCAAATCTGTGCACATGTTTATTCTGTGGCCATGTGTCAGGCAAAGATATTAAGCAATGTACATAAATACCCTAACATGCACTATTTCCTTAAACGCCCCAATAAAGAAAGAAGGTAGCCTAGTTGTAAGCTGTTGCCATCATCTTGTGATCACTGTCTGAAATGGCTGCACCATCACTGGAGCTCTCATGATGACCAAGACTGTGTTTTGTTCTTTAATTTCATGATGTTTTGAAATTCTTCTTGCTAGTAAGACATACTTGAGATACTAATCACAATATGATACATGGAGGCCTTCTTCTTTCTCTTTTCTTCATTTACTTCACCAAAATGTTGAAGATCCAAGTAAGAGTCTTCTGTCATGGCTGAAGTTTGTAGGTGAAATCTCTTGTCAACCCATTTGTAGACTTGTTCATGTTTGAAGGTTGTAGGTGAAATCTCTTGTCAACCCATTTGTAGACTTGTTCATGTTTGAAGGTTGTAGGTGAAATCTCTTGTCAACCCATTTGTAGACTTGTTCATGTTTGAAGGTTGTAGGTGAAATCTCTTGTCAACCCATTTGTAGACTTGTTCATGTTTGAAGGTTGTAGGTGAAATCTCTTGTCAACCCATTTGTAGACTTGTTCATGTTTGAAGGTTGTAGGTGAAATCTCTTGTCAACCCATTTGTAGACTTGTTCATGTTTGAAGGTTGTAGGTGAAATCTCTTGTCAACCCATTTGTAGACTTGTTCATGTTTGAAGGTTGTAGGTGAAGTCTCTTGTCAACCCATTTGTAGACTTGTTCATGTTTGAAGGTTGTAGGTGAAATCTCTTGTCAACCCATTTGTAGACTTGTTCATGTTTGAAGGTTGTAGGTGAAATCTCTTGTCAACCCATTTGTAGACTTGTTCATGTTTGAAGGTTGTAGGTGAAATCTTTTGTCAACCCATTTGTAGACTTGTTCATGTTTGAAGGTTGTAGGTGAAATCTCTTGTCAACCCATTTATAGACTTGTTCATGTTTGAAGGTTGTAGGTGAAATCTCTTGTCAACCCAATTGTAGACTTGTTCATGTTTGAAGGTTGTAGGTGAAATCTCTTGTCAACCCATTTGTAGACTTGTTCATGTTTGAAGGTTGTAGGTGAAGTCTCTTGTCAACCCATTTGTAGACTTGTTCATGTTTGAAGGTTGTAGGTGAAGTCTCTTGTCAACCCATTTGTAGACTTGTTCATGTTTGAAGGTTGTAGGTGAAATCTCTTGTCAACCCATTTGTAGACGTGTTCATGTTTGAAGGTTGTAGGTGAAATCTCTTGTCAACCCATTTGTAGACTTGTTCATGTTTGAAGGTTGTAGGTGAAATCTCTTGTCAACCCATTTGTAGACTTGTTCATGTTTGAAGTTTGTAGGTGAAATCTCATGCTAAGCCTCCTAAACAATCCATGGCAAGCATCAGTTTCACTATCTTTGCTTGTCTTATGGATAATGGTCATCACTGAAACCACTGAAGGGGAAATTCCTAGGGAATCGGGTGGAGAGGGAAGAGGAAGGATTGGGGGGGGGGGGCGGATGGGACCCAGTGTGTCCAAAAAACAACTAAATCATATAGACATAGAGGGATATTGTGGTTAGAATTTATACCAAGCTGAAGGCAGTTACACAGATCAGGGGATGGTGGGCTGATCAAAGGATTTAAATGCTAGTCTTGTGATTAATTTAGCAAATGATTATGAAAAAACAGAAACATTTAGCGAAAGGGCAACCCATGGGTTCCTGGAGAAGAGAAAAGAACAGACCAACTGCTTCTTAACAGGCATGTCGTAAAAGGCGAATAATTAAGGTTGCAGAAAGGTGCACATATCAAGTTTAGTGGTAAACCACAACATAAGAAGATGAAGAAAAGACAGGGTCAGGGTATTTTAAAACCAGTCTTTGATTGCCTAACCTTATGATAATGAGAACAGAGGGTAGTGGAGATATATGATATATATATATATATATTCAATAAGAAAACAGATCAGGTTAGGAAACATTTTTAAGACCTATCTGATGGGCTCAGAACATGCTAGAGCTCTACTGGTTTGGACAAAATACCACAACTTAGAGCTGAAACCCAGTTGCTGAACGACTAAAATCGGCTGT